AAGAAATACTACCAAACAGAAAGGAAAACAACAACAATAAAAAGAATCACGAGGATTGGCCAGACAGCTCAGCAGACTAAAGCACCTGCTTAGGCAGAGCGCAGTGGCCAGGGTTTGACCCCTGGCGAGCTGTGCCAGCCCCACCCCCAGGGTGCTCTGAGACAGCAATTGAGATTGGTCATGGTGGTGCTAGCCTGTAATCCCAGCGCTTAGGAGGCTGAAAACAGGAGAATCACTATGAGTTCAATCTACATAGTGAGACCCTGTTGACCCTGTAGACACTGTACTAAATCAAAAAACAAAAAAAAAGGAAAGAAAAGAAACCATTACTTTAAGTGAGATTTATACCAGAAGGCATATTTCAATATTAGCAAATTTATTAATCAAATTTATCAGAGATTAAACAAAGAGAAATGGGTAACCAGGAAGACAGGTAGGATAATACGGCTAGTTACCACCTTAATATGACAAATACAAACCTCATACCAAGAAGCAACAGAGTGATCACTATCAGCACTATTCCTTAGTACTTTTTTGTCAATACTAACAGATGCAACAAATAAGTAAAACAGACAAAATTAGAAAGGGCCTTATCCTTGACACTCTTACCACTATTACTACCTCCTCAATAAACACTACAGTCTACTCTTTAGTTAGGCATTCTGCATTCCACTCAGGCCTTCAGTCTACTTTTGCCCTAATTTAGGAGAACATATTAATTTAAAACTGTTTTTATGTTGGCATCTGAAAACTGCTGCAGAGCACAGCAGCCAGGGTGCTGGCCCCACCCCAGGGGTGCGCTGAGATGGCGACTGAGACTGGATGCCTGTAATCCCAGTACTCGGGAGGCTGAAAACTGGAGAATCACTACAAGTTTGATCTATATAGTGAGACCTTTTAGACCTTATAGACCCTGTAGGTCCTGTACTAAATACATAAAAATATTTTTAATTTTTTTTATCTGAACATTGATAATAATACCACAAAGTATGTATTATTCAGAATGTAGTCTTCAGCAGCTACATATACAAGGTTTCCAGTACTGGACAGATTCCTAATGCAGGAATTGATCTTCAATTCCCTTAAATGCTCTGAGATTACTTGAAAATGCAATGATTACATTTATCAGAGTGCAGCATTGAAAACTTCAATAACAAAACTACTTCTTCCCTTTGCAGTAATCATCAGTGTCGCAATGAAAAATGAGAACCAACACACAAGAACTTACCTAAGGGATGATCAGCATAATCTGGTCTTTGAATATAACTTGGAACTAGCCTTGTTGGCATCTGAAAACATTGAAAAGACTGTTTAAAACCTATTCACTAACAAAGAAAATAGAATAGGGAAAATTAAAAAGTTCAAACAACAGTTTTTAAATGAAAGTTTTAAATGATATATTAAATAACAAAGCAGTTATCAATTTCATGTAAATTAAGCCTTACTTTCCTAGTGCAAAACCACACGTTTCTTAAGAGGTTTAAGAAAAGGAAGAATATGGAACCAGAAAAGACCTAGAATAGCAAAGGCAATCCTGGCCAATAAAGACAAGGCAGGAGGCATTACAATTCCTGACCTGAAATTATACTACAAGGCTACTGTGATAAAATCAGCATGGTACTGGCAACAAAATGGACCTGAGGATCAATGGAATAGATTAGGAGATGCTGCAGCCCATACGAACACACTCAGCCACCTTATATTTGAGAAAGGGGTCAAACATACTCACTGGAAGAAAGATAGCCTCTTTAGCAAATGGTGCTGGAAAAACTCGCTCTCTACACGCCGAAAACTAAAACTGACCCAGGTCTATCACCATGCACTAAACTAAAGTCAAAATGGATTAAAGATCTAAACATTAAAACAGAAACACTCAATCTCCTGGAAGAGAAAGTAGGAGAAACTCTTGAAGACATAGGGGTAGGCAAGGAGTTCATGAACAAAAATCAAATCGCACAGGAAACAGTTGAAAGAATTAACAACTAGAACCTCCTCTTACTGATTTTTTTCACATCAAAAGAAATTACCAACAAAGTGAAAAGGCAACCCACAAATTTGGAAAAAATCATGACAAATAAGTACTCAAACAAAGGTCTGCTCTCTAGAATTGATAAAGAACTAAAAAACACTAGGGCTCCAAAATTTAAAGACCCAGTCCAGAAATGGGCATCTGAGATGAACACACATTTCTCAGAGGAAGAAATTAAAGAAGCGAATAAATATATGAAAAAATGTTCCACATCACTAGCCATCCGCAAAATGCAAGTTAAAACAACATTGAGAGATCATCTCACCCCAGAAAGAATGGCTATCATAAAGAAATCACTCAACAACAAATGTTGGAGAGGCCGTGGAGAAAAAGGAACCCTTCTCCACTGCTGGGGGGAATGTAGACTGAAGCAACCATTATGGAAATCAGTATGGAGACTCCTTAGAAAAGTTGGACTGGAAATCCCATTTAAACCAGCTATTCCTCTACTGGGAATTTTCCTGGAGGATCTGAAAACATCATATCATAGGGATATATGTGTGCCTATGTTTATAGAAGCACAATTTGTGATAGCAAAATCTTGGAAACAATCAAGATGCCCATCACCTGAGGAATGGATGAAAAAGATGTGGTATTTCTATACAATGGAGTGTATTATTCAGCTATAAAGAATGATGAACTCAAAGCCTTTATATTGAAGTGGATGCCACTTGAAGATATACTCATAAGTGAAATAAACCAGACACATATGTGTAAAGATCGCATAGTTTCCCTAGTATAAGAACTCAAAAGAATAACACAAATAGAAGGTATAATACAAGTAAAAGGAAAGAAGGAACTCGAGGACTAACTAATTAAGAGAGGGAAAGGAGAAGAGCTAGGAAACATGACAGTGACAAGCCATACAGTTATATGTATAAGATGGGCAAGGCAATGATCCTGAGAATCTCCAAAAGATTTTTGAATCTAGCAGTTAATTGGAAAGATTGTCACCCTGACTAACTATATATACTGATACCTGTGAACTAAGCCACTGCACTGATGATGGTAGTATGTAATAGTAGTTTCATGCTTGGAGTGCCTGTCATTCTGGTCTTCTGAATACGGGCTGCTTGTCATGACATGCCAGTTGCTGCTGTGCTGTCTCTCAGGTAGATGATTGTTCAAAAAGAAGGGGTGGTGAATGAAGGCAAGAGACAGGAAAAGGAATGTTGTGGGACTGTCCTGCTTCAAGGTTGTATATGGTGAGATTTTTGGACTTATGTATAAACATAAGAAGTATATAATTCTTTATGCCTATTTTTAAAAATATATTCTAATTTTTAAATGTTTTTCCATCATATTCTGTAGGGACTTAAAAGTTCAACATATCAATACTTGATGAAAAATACCTTTTCCATGTTATGCCTAAGATGTTTCATATTCAGACAGATAGTGAGGTTAAGCTTAACAGCCTAGGTTGTATGGTAATAACAATAAGCTTGTCTTCTGGAGGGTTAACAAACTAACTTTTCAGACCAAAATTAGAGAAAAAGGAGGGCCGCAAGGAAAGCCTACATTTTGGCCCTAGCCTTCCAAGATCAATTAAAACTGAGGACATATGAGAACTTGTACTGTAATGTCATGTAATTCGGTAGTGTCCCAAATTTTCTGATCAAGGAGATTATGGGGCCAAAGAGGAAAGTGATCGATGATGTACAGTGTGCCTAAGGAGAATCACATGGAGAGAAAACACTCTCTCGGGCTTTCACAGAGAGCACATTGGCCAAGCAATGGCCCTGACTCATCCACATGGCTGACACTGACAAAAGTTCTACAATCTGAGGTACAGGATCTCAGCATAAATCCTGAGGGGACTTCACTGACCTTATTAGACCCAAAAGCTACAACTCTTGTTGCATAGGTCCTGCTTTACCTTGGTCTTAACCATCCAGCAGAAAACTATAAAAACGAAGTAGAAGAAATAAAGCCATGCTGTGATGTTGAGCTGTAGGGGACTCAGGTCAACAATTTCTGACATTGCCAGTCAAGCGGAAGACCCAGTACTATTATGGACTACTGGACTCTTTTAGAATATTTTGCTGAGTTAACACACCTATAATATTCAAATAACGGAACTTAACAAAAAAAGGGGATACAGCTGAATGTCAATTTTGTATCTGTGTATTCAAAATGGTTAGGATAAATATATAGTTATATTCTCTTAATGAGTACAGGGATTTCTTGTAATAGTGTTTGTAAATAGGATATCATGTCTGCATCTTGTACAGCAATTAACCACTAGGAAGAATGTATGCAGTGTGTTAATTATTGAAACTGTCCTACCAAAAAAAAAAAAAAGAAAAAAAAAAAGAAAAAAAGAAAGGGAAGAATAATCGAGGCCAGCAGTGACTTTAAATTAGCTGCAAACCAAAGGTGCCAGTGTCATTTCAAAGCACTAGGAAGCTGACAATAGTACTAAGACACCAGCACTTTCCTAGTCATCATCTCCAGGAAGGAGAATTAAGACTGTCTTAGAAATTTAATATTTTTCCAAACTTTTAAAAGGAAAAAGAAAATCATCAATAAAGAGAATATACATATTTAAGGATAAAAATCAAATTTCAAGGGCCAGCAAGATAGTGCAGCAGACTAGGTGCCTGCTTATGCAAGTGCAGGGTCCAGGATTCAATCCCCTGCACACACATGTAACACTGCAAGCTCATGACAGAGTAACGGCATGATGACACATGCCTGTAATCTTGACGCTGGGCAGGCTAAAAACAGGAGGATCACTACAAGTCTGAGCTGTGCAGTGAGACCCTGTACCAAATACATTAAAAAAAAAAAAAAAAAAAAAAAAAATTCAGCTTAACTGAATTGTTACTAAAACTCTGAAAAAAAAACAATGGAAGGGACAGGAGTCACCAAAAGAGTAATTATTAAGGTACAAATGTTACTACATTAAACAAATTTAGAAAATAATACATATTAACTCATGCCAGAAAAAAAATAACTACTATACTTTACCCTATTCTTTTAAAAAATAGTTTTAATCCTTCATTGGAAAATTTCTCCACTTCTTCCTTGACTGTTAATTATTTCAACTAACTTCCAAATAATGTACCGTAAGAGCCAGAGCACAAATTCTTATAAATGTTATCCTGTTCCAAGGCTCACTGTTGGTTATAAATTACAATTATTTCTTACTGTAAACTCAAAATTGTTTTTAAAAAAATGCTAAGTTCTTACTACTTTATTTACTCACCAGTGGATAATGTGGTCTGAGTTTACCAGTGTATCGATAGCCAGCCCATGGGTCTGTGTTAATATCGCCTTCCAGGGTCCAGGAAGACACTTCTCGCTTTGCCTTTTCATCTTCTGCAGAACAGATAAATGAATAGATATGAAGGGAACCAAAAGAAGAAAATGGAATGCTTCAGTGATCAAGTAGCATACTTTTATTCTCACTATTTTAAAAATAAAGTTACCCCAGCACAAGAATCCAGCACACTTTCACCCTTACTCAACAAAGCTACTACTTTATTGCTACAGTGTTCACAGGCCTTACAGTCCTCTTTGAAGATCTAAATGTCTTAGAAGAAAAAAACATAGGAACAGTTCATAGAAGTGTTTTGCTCAGCTCAATGCTAAGTGCTAACGCTAACTCCCTTTAATTTCAACTTATATTAAGTTTTTTTTTTTTTTTTTTTTTTTCAGAACTTGCGATTGAACTCAGGACCTTGTGCTTGCCAGGCAAACACTTATTCTACTGAACTATCTCCCCAGCCCCTTTAAATTCATGTTAAAATATGAAACAGAAACCTTAGCAATAACTTCTCCAACTGGAATTAGATGTAACAAGTAAATGCTAACAAGAGGTCTTAAATTACCTCAGAGCAAACTTAAAATCAAAAATAATGTCCTGCTTAGCTGATGAGTGGCTTGTAAGTCATTATTTCAAATTACTTTGAAAGCTTTATGATCACCTTTTGCCCTTTTTAGGAGGAAATACAAGCAGAAAAGGGAAAAAGGGAGAAAATGACATCACTTTTTATTGAAAGTTACTGCAAACAGTGAAAATGTAAGCACATATATACTATTATTTTAGTTATTAATATATAACTGTTTACAGAAATGCATCTAAGAATCTCTTAAAGAGCAGGCCCTCTGGTATGAATTAAGCACACAAGCTTCCTTATTCATTTAAGTTCCTCATAGGCCAAGTACAGATCTACACAACTCTTCTCTTGATTACTGTCACGCAGACTCCAAACTAATTGTGACATACATGAGAAAAGTAATATTCTCTTAACCTATTCAAAATATGGAATATGTGAAGTCCTGGGTTCAATCCTCAGCACGACCAAAAGAGCGAAAAAGGAGAGGGACAAGGAAGGGGAGAAGGAGAGGAAAGAGAAGTTGCGTACATGAAATCACATAATTGTGAACTAGAGAGTATATTAAAGAAAATTTAATTCCTTTACTTTACAGATGAGGAACCTGATGTGACATGTATCACTTCATATGGCTAGTGATTAAAAAAACGCCAGTTCCCAATCCAATAAACATACATTGTTCAGACACTTCCAGATTCTACAGTCACTGAAGCACACAACTGATAAAAATGCAAAACTACAGCCAATCTATTTATATTACTTTGGAAGAGAATATACTCATACCATCACATAAACAGAAGAAAGGAGGAGAGGTTGAGGGAGGGAAGGGGAACGGGGAAAAAATTTTATCTTCTACAAATTCTCTATGATGAATGTGATCATTATGTATATCTAAAATGTAACAATAAAACCTAATTTAAAAATAAAATAAAATCTAATTTTTAAAAAAGCAGATTAAGGGGCCAGCAAAATAGCCCAGCAGATGTAAAGCACCTACTTAGGCAGACACAGGGGCCAGGATTCAATCCCCAGGCCTGCCTCTCCCAGCTCCCCATGGAGAGTGGCACTGGGTATGGTGGCACATGCTTATAACCCCAGCACTTAGGAGGCTGTAAGCAGGAGGATCACTATGAGTCTGACCTATGCAGTGAGACCCTGTACACCCTGTCATAAATACAAAAAAAAAGGAGATTCTACTGTTACTGAGGGTTTTTTTTTAATATTACTGAGTTTTAAATATTCTTTTCTCCTCTGTAGTTCAAGAAAATCACTGTGAATATTAATGTTAACACAAAAAATATTTTATTACCCTAGGACAAAAATGGACCCCCTTCACAGCCGCTTAGCGTCAAACATTATAGAAAATTGTTTAAAATGTCTACTTTAGCAATGAATATTATGACATAATTGTACCTTAAACACAAATTTCAAGAACAATTTTCTCCTGAAATGTAGAGGAAAAAAGCTATCAAGAGTCAGGGTTTTTGGTTAGGATAGATATATAGTTACATTCTCTAATGAATAGAGGGATTTGTTCTAATGGTGTTTGTAAAAAGGTATCATGTCCGCATCTTGTACAGCAATTAACCACTAGGAAGAATGTATGCAATTTGTTAATTATTGAAACTGTCCTACCAATTTGAAAAAAAAAAAGAATCAGGTTTTTGTTTTAACATAAAACAGAAAGAAGGAAAACACGTAAAATCTTTCAGGGGTTTCTAATGATCTACATTCCATACCTCCCACAATCTATTTTCAAAAGAGAACTGAAAGCAGATCTAGAACTAACAAAGCTGAAATATGACAAGTTCTTTTCTAATCTTTAAATATAATTTATTTATAGAAATTTAGACATGAAAAGTAAGCTTTAAATGCTGGAAATATTGCAGACATCAAATATATTTGAACCGAGTTGAGGCTAGTAGCAAAGTTGCATTAATAAGTGGTCTCTTTAAAACCTGTGAAAGCACTGGACATTCTATCTTTCCTATACTATGACACAGTTAAGTCCAGGTTAGATACAGGCCATGTCCAAAAGCCAAAATCCCTCAGATCTTGTTCTATGCAAGGTCTAGCCCAAAGTATCTCCCATCCAGGCTTTATTCTTCAAAAACTTTCCTCCAGACATGTAAGATAACTAACTATATATGTCTAAATTTGGCCCAGGACAGGATTTTCTAAGTGAGACTTCTTTTTAAATGGACATATTTTTGTTTTTTAGGTCATATTTTTGGCTGTTTAAAAAGTCAAATTCTTCTACCTTTACTTCAGGAAAAACAAAAAAAAATAAACTGATAGATGAGTAACATATTATCTGGTATAGAATACAACAGATTTGGCCAGGGAGATAGTTCAGCAGCATAAGTGTCTGCCTGGCAAGCACAAAGTCCTGAGTTTGATCCCTGGTACCAGGAGGAAAAAAAAATAGACTCAAGACTGGACGTACCACAATGTTTACAGATCAGATTAAAAGTAAACTATTTATGTATACTCTGCCAGAAGATCCACTGTAGAACAGACGCACTCAAATACGTATGTGCTTTTAATTAAAGATTTTACACTCTGTCTAGTCTCCTTTATAACATAAATTATATTCCCAAGTCATTTAACTCATACTTGAAAATTTCCCAAGGTCAATGCAAAATATTAAGTTTCCATAATTAAGAAAACTACAGGTCTAGTGTTTTTAATGGCAAACTCCATCAAACATTTAGGGAAAAAACTAATAGAAATACATTTCTTCCAGAAAAAAAGAAGAGCAAGTATTTTCCATTTTATAAGACTAGAATTGCCCCAGTATCAGAACCAAAGACAAGGGCGTGCCAGATAGCTCAGGGGATTAAAGTGCCTGCTTAGGCAGGCACAGGGACCAAGGTTGATCCCCCACATGCCTACCCACCCTGCCCCTAGGATGCCGGGACAGTGATTGAGATAGGGCGTGGTGCTGCCAGCCTGATATCCCAGCTGATCTGTGCAGTGAGACTCCACAGACCTCGTACTAAATACATTTTAAAAAGACAATAAAAGCAAATTATGGGCCACCAATCTAAATGAACATAAATATAAATCAGATTTTTTAGTCAGAGATCAATATATGCTCCATTAAAAAAAAACTGTCAATATCATTATGAGAATTGCTTGCTCTCTTACAATACTACTGTCTTTTACAATAAAGTGCCATTTCTTTATTTTTATTTTTTATTTTTTTTAAGTATTTACTACAGGGTCCTGTTTAAAGCCTCCCAAACCCTGGGATTACAGATGCACACCACTACACCCAGTCTCAGTCGCTGTCTCAGTGCACCCCAGGGGCAGGGGCGGCACAGCAGGTGGGTCTATGTGTCTGCCTGAGCAGGTATTTCAGTCCACTGAGCCATCTGGCAGGCCCAAAGTGCCATTTCTTAATATGGCCAAGTACTCTTTTCCCTAATACTTTTCTCAAAACTCTTCTAAGCTCTGGAGATCACCTTTCCCTCATAGCACTTATCTACGACTGCCACTCAAAACACTACTTTGGGGCAGTGTGTTAGGATGTGAAAGACACAGGTCTGGCTGGCTGACAGCTATTTAGGACCCAAAGAGAATAAGGACATTTGGCTCACACATTGAAGAAAATCACCCCCCAAAAGATCCATGAGATCTGTACCTAAACGATGGCACCACACTAAGCACCATAATTATAAGTAAATTCCAAATAGCTTAGATCCAATGCTACAATAATTACATGTTTTTACATGAATACCTGTTATTTTAATTCCCTTGTGATGTTGTAGGTAGCTTAATTAGAAATATTCTAAGCAGTCAGACAGGGTCAGGCCTTCAAGGATAAAATGGAAGACAAGGTGACTTTGCAACTTGAAAGAGACAGACACTCCTATATGGGCCTGTGTTAGTTGATACATTTTGTCAACTTGGCTGAATCAGCTCCGGCAGTTCTCAGCATGGGGGCCTAGCCCTGCAGGTGGGCAGGGCCCAGGAACTGAGAAAGGCAGGAAGCTGCCTTGCCTGGTTTCCTGCCGCCCCACCCCGCCCAGCTTCCATGGAGAAGTCTCAGTCTTTGGAGGAGCTTGATCTTGGCAGCCGCTCCACTTTGGAGGAGCTCCGATCTTCACTGTGGAGCATTGGTCTTCGCAGTTAGCGCAGAAGGAAGAGAGAGGCTTGATGGACGCCGCTGCAGCTGCTGCTCCTCCTCTGCTCTTCATTGTTTTCTGCCACATGAACTGCTGTCGTTTGCCTTGGAGCCAGCGGAATATGGACTGAACCCTCCAGTAACTGTGAGCTAAATAAACCTTTCCTTCCTTCATTTTGAGTGTGGGGTATTTGTCCCAGCAACAAGTAAAAAGTAACTAAGACAGGGCCACACTTCAAGACCAAGACAAAAGAGGAAACACAGTTACATACTTCCCTAGGGATAGGCATCAGGGATTGATATTGAAGATAAGTATCAATCACCTTGAAAGAGCTCAAATGGGTGACCAGCCC